TAAAAATCTCATCTAGCACCTCGCAGCGCGGCAGGGTTCCCAAAAGGCTGGCAGCATTGCCCCTCTGGATAGCCAAGCCTATCCTTTGGGGAAAAAAGTTGATTCCAAGTTGATATTTATCAGTGGAAATCGTAGCAGACTTTCCAAGAAATTACTAGTAGGTATTTTGCAGAAAGAACGGGAAACATAAATTACTTACCTATTATTTCAATGGTAATTTCTATCCATTGTGTCGTCAAAAGACGATGGCATTTCTTTTGTACTTTTATGGTTTCCTTCTCTTTATAGAACATCAAATGAATTTGAAGTGACTTGTTTTTAAATGCTGTATTTAGGCGATGCAAAACTGAAGATAAGATATGGAAAGGGCTTGGCTAAATGTTCATACAACAAAAACCCGGCTCGAGGCTAACAGTCAGGCGATCAATGTAGCCAAATATTGGGCAAATAAAATTTAGTTGTTGTCCATCGATTCGATGAAGAAGAAGAACAAAAACCCAGAATCGCCAGCAACGAAATGCATATAAATGGGTTCACTAGGGTATTGCTATTTTATTAAAAACATAGACAGGGTCCTACCTCATCTAGTATAGAAAATATTAGATGAAATAGATAAACCTTATACGAGAGGTCGGTCCAGTGGTTACTAACCACCGAGTATATCTTGTACTCAGTTGTAGGTAGTATGTCAAATAGATGCATAAAATACAATCGTGTATCTAGCTAAATGACAACTAGGAAAAATATGTTTGATTCAAAGATAAAATATATTATAAAATATTTCGGATGACTTTGCTTAAGAAGAACCCAGATTTGTCTGGAACGAAATGTATGTAAGTATACAGGATGTAAAAAAAACAACTTCAAATATTTTAAGGGGTGAACCAGCCCATGAAACTGAACAACTTTCCTCAAGGAACATAGGTAGAAATAAGAAAAAAAAATGGAAATCGCATACAAAATGTACCAGCTGACCGAGTCAATTTGTATGGGAGAGCCAACATTCTTTTTCATCATTCGACCTATGTCCCCTAGGGAAAGTTGTTCAGTTTTATGGGCTGGTTCACCCCTTAAAATATTTGCAGTTGATTTTTTTACATTCTGTTTACATACATACATTTCGTTCCAGACAAATCTGGGTTCTTCTTGTATAAACATTAGCAAAGTCATCCAAGATATTTTATAATATATTTAATCTTTGAATCAAACACTTTTTTCCTAGTTGTCATTTTACTAGATACGCGATTATATTTTATGTACTTATTTGACATCCTACCTAAACTGAGTACAATATATATTCGGGGGCAAGAGTAACCACTATACGGGCCTCTCGTATAAGGTTTATCTATTTTATCTAATATTTTCTATACTAGATGAGGTAGGACCCTGTATATTTTTTTAATAAATTAGCAAAACTCTAGTGAACTTATTTATATGCATTTCGAAGCTGGCGATTCTGGGTATTTTTTTTGGCAAAACCTTTCGTAAGAATCCCTGAAGAATTTTGGTAGAGATATTTCCTCAAATACTGTATTTCCATAAATTGCAAATAAATTTCAGGAATTTAAAACGTTTTGCTAGAGTTATGTTCGGTCCTAGGCAATTTACTCCTTTCGTACTGATAAAAGTAAGGTCGTAGAAGTTTCAAAAGCAAAAAATAAGTTACAAGCTGTAATTTAATAATTTGTTCTTATAATAGTCTCTCCAACAATAATGGCTTGATGTCAGGCAGATAGCCGCTTGCAGCACTCCTAGTTTATAATCGGGATGAGTCATGTCATGACTTCCAGACAAAGTGCCATTCTCAATAACAAGGATTACTTACAAAACATTTTGTCATAGATTTTGCTCTTCATAAAAATAAGACATCGAAGGATTTTATCCAGGCAATTTGAACTAAACATCTTTGACGTTCGTTCGGAATTCGCGTAATAAGATTTGAGGCTTGGGTTTCTCAATCGAACCAACAGCAGAGCTGGTATTCCGGTCTGAATATCTCGGATAAGAAATAGGGTTGAGAAAAGAGTATTTTTCAGCTGTTTGATATTTTTTTCATACAAGTTCAGATTAAAAGAAAAACGGCCCTCAGCATGTCAAAGATTTTTGTTTAATAGGTAGGTATATTTTTGACAGGATTTGATGCAATGGCCTGGGATGGTTGAAGTTGGTTTTGTAAAATGTATTTGATCTCAGATCCAAGCATTCAAGCACAATGACATTCTGCAAGTAAAATATCTACTCTTAATGAAGAGAAAAAAGTTGCATATTCAGTTTATATTTAAGTAATAAACTTAATTTTCTTTGTACCTATATGCGAAAAATTTCTACGAAATGACTTGGAACTCAAAAAATCAGACAACTCGGCTTCCCACTCAAAAATAAGTTAAGACAGACGATACTTGGATACTAGCTAGACTATTTCAGTCAAAAGTATAGTGGTGCCCCTATTAGTAAATGAGATTAGCAGGATGCTCGGCGATGCAACCAAGCTATCTGCTGGAAAACTCGTAGATTCATAAATGAAGATAAATAAGAATCTGAAAAAATTATTATGCATCGAACATCATCGGGCTCAAACACGAGCCGCATTTGTTAACGCTCTGCCACTGAGCTATCAATGTACCGATCGAGGCTTGTTAAATTTCAATCGGTTGATGCTCGTCTTTAATCGACGATCTAGCGATATCTAGTAGAAAGTATTTTCAACTTTTATTTTGGATTCCAATAGATGAACTCGTATTTTGTTATCATCACACTCGTATATACTTACATACTTGTATATTTCTAATATGAATCCGTGTCACCCCTAGCGGTGAATGAGATTAGCAGGGAGCGGTGCAATGCAGCCGGCTATCTGAGCTATCGGCTGGAAAACTCGTAGTTTGTTATCTCACTCCTATATTACTTAAATATATTTCTAATATGAATCCGTGTCACCCCTAGCGGTAAATGAGATTAGCAGGGTGCGGTGCAATGCAGCCGGCTATCTGAGCGATCGGGTGGAAAACTCGTAGTTTGTTTTCATACTACCCTACCTTCGATATTAAGGTTACCGATTGCCTTAAAGCTAGCCGTGTGGTGGAGGCTTAGAATAGCATCACCCAATTTCAACCCGTGAGTGTCGTAAAACCCAAATAAGGGATGGATCCGAGGAATGGGCAGCAGCGTTCCCTGTGAATAGGTATTTACTTTGCACTGCGCTCGCCAATGCCTGCCAAGCGTGATGAGAATGGCAATACCCCCCATTTGGGAGGCCCATGTCTGTAGTAGTAGAGTAGATTGGCTTAAAAAAAATGTTATTTAGGAAGATGTAAGCACTTAATCAAATAGTAACTAGCAAGTAAATATATTTGTCAAAAATATTCAAAAATCAATAGGTATATATTTTTTAAAACGATGTTCCGTGCCAGACGCCTAAAAAATTGTATGGCTTCGTTTTTTTCGAAAATATTCTACGTTTTCTTAACCGTAGATTAACTGATTTCTTTTAAGTTAGTTTTGCGCGTTCTACAAATAATGAAAGATGTATCACTACTCGAAGTTTCGGATTACGAAGTACTTAAAAGAGAGTAGAAGGCTAACTTACACAACATCTATTTCAGTAATTCTAAGTTTAATCAATTTTGTCTGACGTTGGAACTCTACATTTTTGTTCTCGTCTTTTTCTAAAAAATACACTCCATAAAAACCACCCTAAAACAGCAAGAGACAAAAATGCGCCTAAAAATGGCCATAAACGTTCCTTTATCTCGCCCATTTGCGAGAAACTGCCTCGGGGACGCAACGACGCGCGTCTTGGGAGATTCTAATTCGCTTCCCTTGTCAGGCGGCATTACTCCGACAATGCATGCAGACGAGAGGGCAGCGAAAGCCCGCGTACCGTTGCCTTGGTAACGAGACGCTGCAGTGCTTTCCACCGCCCTTCGCCGCAGTAAGCTCCCGCCCGCCGCGCCGCGAGGGTCCCTGCGCCGCGCCCGCCCAACCGCGTGTTTTCAACCACATTATCGTAACAAAAATCTAAATTCGGCGCACAAAACCGCGACCGGAAAGAAGTAAAGTTAGGCAGCGAAACGTAACCTTCGGAAATCGATAGTTCAGGGCCCCAGGTGTTAAAGTGTTAAGCATGAGTCGCAAGGACGCGACTTTTGCTCGGCAAGTTTGGATGCAGTTGAAGAGTGTTTCTGTGATGCTTTGTGCATTGTGTTTGTAAGCCATGAAGGAGTGTAACCGTTGGATTTTTAAGACGACATGACGCAGGATCGAGCGAATATATTTTCGGATGATGACGAGGACTTGGTAAGTCTATGAGCTGTATGTAGTACCTTGTAGTACCATTTTCTTAAGTGTCGTTATGCAATGCAATGAGATCCTGCTTCTTTTGGCCCGACTCCAAGCCTTACCCTCGAGCGGAGTTATTATATAAACTGTATCTGCAGCGGTTTTTCTGGTAATTTTTAAATGTTAAACGAGATGAAAAAGTAAACTACATTTTAACAAGTGTTGAGTCATACATTTTGATTACTTTCAATTTTGTTCTGTAAAAAAGTACAGGTAATTATTTACCAAATGAAAGCACCAAAAAAGTTATTTTCAATACGTATAACTAAGTTATAGGTAGTAGTTAAAACTTAATTGATAATAGCTTACTTAAAGCGTATATAATTTAAGTAATCTGTAGCATCGACGTTAATAAATATAAATCTACACCAATATAAAAGTTTTTTACCCGCATTAAAAACTGTACTACGTTATTACTATTTTCCCAAATTCGAACCTTTGACTTTCGCAAATCGATGCTTATGGCAACTCAGCTTTTGGCGAAATTATTCAAGATTGTCTTAACATCAGTGACGTATAGCATGGCTACATCCTGCCATCTGATGCGTTGTAAAAAAAATTATAGGTAACTAGAACTATAACCCATATTAACGGTTTATCTTGCTTTTCGGATCATCAGGTGGTTTATCCTGCAGTGGAAAAAAATATCACAAGGTAATAAATATCAACTTGGGAATTGAACCGGGAACCTTCTGCATTGAAGGCAGTCGCACTACCATTGCGCCACATCGGCACATTGAAATATACAGTACATTTTTGCTTCCTAAGGACGTACGGTACGGTACCTACTTACTACTCAAGGTATTAATTAAAACTGGCAGGGGTTAAGGTCTGGTAGTAACTCGTTGGCGGTGATGAATAGCTACCATTGTGCTCCTCATAATTACATCTAGGACCATTGTTTCAGTGTTTCACTCGAGTTTCGGAGACCCTATTGTTTTCTGAACGACAAACTTAAATTAAATGTACTCTCAATAATCTTATTTATTTATTATACACGTATAATCCGATACTGGTCACAACATAACCTCTCGTAGCAACTGGCTACGAATATGCTTTTCACACAATATTTCTAAAAACCGTGTTATCAAAAAGTAATATTTTGTTTGGTGCAAAAAAGTAGCAATTGCTTTACATAGTTACAATAAAAAATAATTATACTGAAGGTATTAAAATTTTAATAGTATATAGTAATTTGTGGTTAATGGAGTTGGTTACATAACTACCTTTAATGATGTTTGTTATGTTACTGTTAAATTAACCCAAACAAAGTGTAAAAAAAAATTAATTCTACCTACCTCTCACGTGAGTGTACCACTGCCGATTGTTTCCATGTTCCGTTTTTCTTTTTAACACTCCGAACTTTGCATTGAAAGCATAATTATTTATACTCACTAAAGGTATAAATGAAGGCTGTCAGGGGTTAAGGTCTGGTAGTAACTCGTTGGCGGTGATGAATAGCTACCATTGTGCTCCTCATAATTACATCTAGAACCATTGTTTCACAGTTTCAATCGAGTTTCTGAGACCCTATTGTTTTCTGAACTACAAACTTAAATTAAATGTACTCTCAATAATCTAAGTTTTGTATTATACACGTGCACTTCGAAAAAATTAATATGCTTTTAAAAAAATATTTTGAAAAATTGTGTTAAGTATCAAAAAGTAGTATTTTTTAGGTGCTAAATAGAAAAAAATACGAGTTATCAAAATAAATCGTATTTAATCAACACGGGTAATACGGGTATCCAAGATGTAGTAATTTCTAAGAAATCGATTTATAACAAACATTCTTTCTTTATTTTGAAAATATAGAGAAATAATTATTGTAACTACTTACCACGTAAGTGTACCACTGCCGAAAAAGACAATTTGCTTCCATATTCTGAACTTTGTTCCTTAGGGAAAGTTGATCCTTATCTTCAGTGCTTTCTGTGATTTCGGTATCAGCTCTTGTAAAATGACATCCTTTATGAACTTTTACTGCTTTTTTTACCTGCATTGAAAGCATAACTATTTATATTTACTAAAGGTATCATTTAAGGCTGTCAGGGGTTAAGGTCTGGTAGTAACTCGTTGGCGGTGATGAATAGCTACCATTGTGCTCCTCATAATTACATCTAGGACCATTGTTTCACAGTTTCTCTCGAGTTTCTGAGACCCTATTGTTTTCTGAACGACAAACTTAAATGAACTTCCAATAATCTAACTTATCAATGGCGACAGAAAGAGGATATAGATAAACAATACTAACATTTTAATGCAGTATGCACTTATTTAGAACATTAGATAACATAAACGAAATTGAATACCAAGATTTTGAATTGGAAGGGAATCAATTTGTTACATTTTTGCATTGTATGAAGTTTCCTGAGTCAGCTACACGTTTACTACGAAGCTACGGCTACAACATATCCTTTCGTAGAACTTGTCTACGAATATGCTTTTCTTACGTACAATATCCAATTTACCTATTCGGTTTACTTTCGTAACTGTGTTCTGTTTTATATTATAAGTCTATACCATAGGATGGTATATAATTACTAATGAGTTTACTTAACCAAATGTCTGTTTTAAATAGAAGGTAACTACCACTAAATTGACTACATAGTAAACCTATGTGTTTTTGCTCAAAATCTTGTATACACTGTCAGGTTTATTTATGTTTCACAATATTGTTCAATATTCAATATTATAACACGGTTAAAACAGTAAGGGCACTCTTACGCCTTAGAACAAAATGCCAAGGTTGCCATTTATCATCATAAATTCACACATGCTATGCAGATTGCAGCAAGAATGAAATTGCGACATTTAAATATTTCAGGACTTTTTATTGCAGTAGGTACTTTACTCATAAAGAATCATACAGTTACACAAAAATCCCACATATTGAATGTAAAACTAAGTACTTAACTTGACTTTTGACCTACTTTTACACACAGAAAAGATCCATCTATGACCTATCCCATGGGCTATGACTGTGACGGACGCTCTTACATAAAGTATGTGACCTTAAGGTGAACATCAAGTTACGAAGTTTCTAGACGTGTAGATTACAAAAATAGTGGATGTGCTATAAAAGATGTATCTTGCAATATTATACCAATATACGGAAGTTGCTTGTTATGTAAAATAAGTAAGTAGGTACTAGGTACAGATCAATCACAAAATAACATGAGATTCTGCTGGTATATGTACATACCTAAATGTTTATTAGGGAAGTCGTTTTGGTATATGGTCACGTCTGATAAACAATATAGGTCTGATAAATGAGGAATGTTTCACAGAAATCATCTAAATACAACTAGAGTAACTGGTTGTCAGCCTATTGGCTGAAATTGTAATACTCATGAAACCCTCAAGTCGCTGTTACTTTCTGCAACCGCATAACTACCTATAACTAATTATACGTATGCTATTAAATATTTTGTCCAAAATTGATTAATTTAAACGAGTAGAGTAGTAGCTTAGCAAAGTTCGAAGCGTAATCAGTTTTGTGTTTGGTATTGAATTAACGATAAAGATTAAAGATAAAATATACGTAGTTACTTTATTGCATAAAAACATAAAATTACATGATTAGACAAACAAATAAAAAAATTACAAATGGCGGCCTTATAGCTAATTTAGCTATAGGTATCTTCCAGGAAACCAGCCTTATTTGTTAATTAACCTTGGACCTTGGGTGGGTATCAAGTCTCAACTTATAATTTATTTTGTTTGCAGTTTCAAAGCCTGTCTATAATTTTCATAACAGAAGCTACGTCTAGAATGTATCCCTGAGGCTGAATTTCTCATGGAAGGTTCTCCTCCATCTAGTTTAATGTTACGACATCGTCATAAAGGTGAAATCCTCTATTATTCAGTAGCAGCCTTAGTGACGTAACCGATGTAACTTTGATACCTCTTATTACCCGACTGCCTCAGGAGGAGAACTATGTTTTTCGAAAGTATGTAAGTATGTGGGCTACAGCTCAAACGGCTGGGCGGATCTTGACATGTACGGATCGTTTGATTTGTTCAACGCGAGTGACACTGAGAATAATAAAAGCTCATTAATTCAAGATGGCGGATTTTTATCGCAAAATACAATTATGAAATTACCGCATTCGGGTTTTTGTTTTTTAAATCTGTTTGTTAAGTTATAATACAACACCTTTGACGTGAACTTGTTTAATTTAAATCAAATTTCTTTGAATACGAAGTAGGTGTATTTGTAATTTTCAAATTAAGTTTAAGAAAGAGTTTTACTTGTTGTAATTTAAGGATTAAGAAAAGATTTTTTGGATTATTAGATTTGGGAAGTTATTAAGGAAACAATTAATACGTACATACATACATCTATCACACCAATGGCCCTTGCGGGATAAGCAGATAGTCAACGGCTGTAAAAACGGTCATTTACTAACACAACTTCATACAAAAGTTTAAGGGTCATTCAGAAGACTGTGTATTAAGATAGAGACAGGGTGTCAGCCTTTCACCAAATATTGCAATACACAGAAAATCTCAAAATCCCTTATTCGCTTCTTACGAAACCCACGGGAAAAATATGGGGTGATGCTACACGCCGGCACCATACTGCATTAATGAACGGTAATTCTATATTCGGTAAATACCTATTTCTCTTTAGTGTGAAAAACGCGAGGTATTTTGTTAGAATGCTTCTTCTTTCTCCTAACTGCGACGCAAGAATAACGGCTCTAACAAAATGGCTTCCTCAGGAAATGAAATGTAAACCTAATCTTTTGTATAACGTAATTTCGGAGAATCTTCGTAAGCGATTTTTTCTTGCTTTTCTCTTGTTCTATGTTGTTACGATTTGAATCTTAATGTTGGATTTATTTGACCAGTTTAGCTACATGCTGTAAGTACATATGGTTTAGAACATTATTGATTACAAGATCAGCTACTTCCGAATACAAGTACAAAGAGAAATAAACATGCTTAACTAAGGTGGGACGATAGCCATATAAAAGTTAAATGGACTTACGTCTGTAGAGAAGACAAAACTTCGATTCAACAACTCAATGGAAAGTTTAGTGTTTTAATAACATTCTTGCAAAATAATAAGTAAAATTTTCTCTATGGGAAGTCTCGTGCTTTTTTTTAAACATTTAATGCACAATCATAAAAAAAATACCCGTCATCAATCAATCAATCATCGATTTCTCAGATCTGTACCAACCAACGTATAAACTGATTATATTCAATTCGATTTCCAAAGGGAAGGAGGTAGGGGGAGCAATCTAAATACGAAATCATTAGTTATTCATTCAAGTTAACACAAAAGAAAAGCCGGAGGAGGTGGCAAGAGGAAGTTTGTACCAAGTATGCCACCAAAACCCAGTTGCTACTGAACTGCCAAGGAACTTGTAACTTACCGAGCTACCTGAACTTAAACATCCTTGAAAGCTAATTTTAAAAGCTTTGAGATCAGCTTGCTGCAGCTTATTAGAGCGTAATCTTGCCTGTGGTAACTTTTTGTTACATAACTTTGAAGAAATAGAGATGCATAGTAAAATGCATTAGATGATAAGATGCTAAATAAAAGTACCGCTATGCTCCATACTGCATATATTCAACAGAGCACAAGATCAAAAAAGTTCGCGACTGCTTGTTCACAAATGTTTAACTCTAGTACCTATTAGAGCAGTATTCTCAACTTTTACAGACCCTACAATCAAAATTTAATATCTAAAATCTTTTTCTAACCTTTACCATATAAAA